GGATTTGAGCATTGTCAATACAGAAGAAGTAGGTGAATACCCGAGGCAAAGAGAAACAGGGCAGGAGGGCCAACCCTGCTTCGAGCATCGTTCTGCCAGCAGTGCTTTGTTGGCCAAGTGTGGTGCAGTGTCTGCAGCAAGGAGCAGGTTTGGGTTTGGCCTGGCTGCTCTGCAAGCAGCTATTGTTTAACACTTGGCCTGCTGTGTGAATTTCTGCACACCCCCTGCAGGTGTTCAAATTTGCAGCCCTGGAGGAGGGTGAGCAGAGAGGCAGGCTGAAGCCGGAGCCCTGAGAACACTAGCAGATGAGGACGCAGAGCAGCTGGAGAACAAAGCAAAGGGAGCACTGGGGAGGAGGAACAGCCTCAGGGAGGCCATGGAGCCCAATGCCTGCATCTTGTCCCCTCAGAGGGACTAACGACCCTTGAAGACATCTTAGATATTTCTCTTCTATTGTGGCAGAGTCCTGGTGGCAGGTATCTATTATATTAAGCGGCATCAAGAATCAATATTAAGTTGTAGTAAGAATCAGGCATCTGAAGCGGGTGGATGGGAAGGAGGCTGTCTTTCTGGCCATGCCCTGGCGGGGGGGGTTCATGCCCTGGTTTCTGAGGACCAGAGCTAGTTCCCTGTCTCAAATCTACCTGAGTGCCATAGGGCAGCTGGCTCAATGGCTCTGGGCCTCGGTCACTCATCTAGCAAACAGAGACACCAGCACCTCTCTAAAGATTCGGAGAGGGTTAAACGAGGTGCTGTGTGACCCTAGCCAGCATGTATGGATTTGGCCCAGTTACAAGTGCTCTGTGGGTGGTAACCAGGATGGTCCCCACCCCTTGTCCATCCCCCAGCACAAGACTGGGGTTCCGATGCCACATTTCCCCTGAAGATGGGAAAATAACTATTACTGGAAAAGCACGGAAGAGCATGGGGTTGCGAGAGCCAAGGGAGCAAGCTTAGAAGCTTAGACCAGGATCTAAGGTGTAAGAAGAGCCCCATTCCAGGGACAGTTGGCTTCCCCAAGGACCCTCAGCAAAGGCAGAAGCAGAAACAGGAAATGAACTCTCAGCAAAGGCAGAAGTGGAAACAGGAAATGGACTCTCAGCAAAGGCAGAAGCGGAAATAGGAAATGAACTCTCAGCAAAGG